TCAAGAGCAGTGAGTGATTTTCTGTTTTTATTTTATTGTTTGGGTCATATTAACAGATGTTTTGTTTTGGCAGAGTATCCTGAGGTACAAGCTGTAAAGGCACAGCCCTATAGAGACAGAGCGCATTTAAGCCACGCCCACACCGGGGTGGAAAACAATCCAATGCTCTCCATTGACTTTGTGTTGCGGGAAGCTGCCTCCTTGTAATTTCTGATTTATAACAAAAAACAGAACAATGCCTAAAAACTGCTGTGTGACAAGGTGTACAGCAAACAAGCTAAAAAAAAAACAGAACTACGTTTTTATAAGCTGTCGACCCCAAAAAATGAGCGTTTAAGGACACAAATAGTTGTAGATGTCAGGGTATTTCATGTTGGGCTATTCAGTTTGATCATTTCTCCAACAAAAGGAATGTAAGGAAAAGGGGCACTGACATAGACCAATAAAATTTAGTTTCTCAATATATCTGCTCCTCTCAGGTTCACATAGGTTGGTGCAATAATCCTTTGACATGGTTAAAAATAATGAATGTCTCCTGTCACCGATTACGTTTCTCTCCAGTGGGCGTAGTTCTCAGAGTAATATAACACATTGTGCTCTACTTTTGTGTCCTTAAACGCTCGTTTTTTGGGTCGACAGCTTATAAATGTCACATGACATGCCTATGCGATGGCGCTGCAGACGGCAGCCTCAGTGTTTGGCTCTCCAGTGTTTGTACTGTTTTTGTTAGTTTTTCCTGTTTTTTGTTTCTCAAACACGATCAGTTTTACCAGGGATGAGCTGCTGAAAGGGTATTTCACGTTGGGCCATTCAGTTGGATCATTTCTCAAACAAAAGGAAGGTAAGGAAAAGGGGCACTGACATAGACCAATAAAATTTAGTTTCTCAATATATCTGCTCCTCTCAGGTTCACATAGGTTGGTGCAATAATCCTTTGACATGGTTAAAAATAATGAATGTCTCCTGTCACCGATTACGTTTCTCTCCAGTGGGCGTAGTTCTCAGAGTAATATAACACATTGTGCTCTACTTTTGTGTCCTTAAACGCTCGTTTTTTGGGTCGACAGCTTATAAATGTCACATGACATGCCTATGCGATGGCGCTGCAGACGGCAGCCTCAGTGTTTGGCTCTCCAGTGTTTGTACTGTTTTTGTTAGTTTTTCCTGTTTTTTGTTTCTCAAACACGATCAGTTTTACCAGGGATGAGCTGCTGAACATTCGGCAGAACACGCCACACAATCTTCTACCGGATTTCGTTTATTCGGACGTTTTGCTGAACGTTGTAGTCGGCGGAGCAGCTGCGCTGATCAAGCGCTTCAGGACGCGCAGACGGGGGAAGCGAGCCGGCGTGCTCGTGAAGCTC